TATATCAAGTAAATTTTTTTTTTTTTTTAAAAAGGCAAACGCAGGAACAGGCTCAAAACCATGGCTCACCGAATCAAAGTAGGAAGTGAATGCAAACTCCAGCGCATGTGGTTCTGGGTCCCAGGCCCCACCCTGCCACCTTCTGGCCTGGGCTCTGAGGTAGCGTTGACGATGGACTAGTAATGTCTGCCAATGGCTGAAGCAAGGGGCGGAGCTGGCTTCCCATCCTGAACCCAGATCCAGGGCTTTCAAAACTGACCCTCAGGGAGGACTTGGCTAGTTAACCTCTGGGTAAAACCTGCTTAAAAATTTTAGCCCAACCAAAGGGAAAAGTGAATAAAATAGAAATGGGCCACTTGCCTGAATCCCTGGCCCAGGACCCAGCCACCTGCCAACCACTGCCACTGTGCAACCACAGGGCCAGGGTTCCACTAGCCGCCTTTGATTCCTGGGTCGCTAATGGAATTCATTAGCCCACGGTGAGCCGTCCGGGGTGAGCCTCTGCAACTGCCTGTGAACCTGGCTGTCCTTCTGCAGGGAGCCTCCCCAGGTGCCTCCCCCAGAGTCAGTCATGCGCCGCCCAGGGCACCCACAGTGCGTCCTCTGGAATCACACCTGCTCCCTATGAACGCTCTGGTGTGAGCGTGGGGGCAGGAGGGCACACCTGCGTCCAGGCCTGTCCCAGAGAAAGCAAGATGAGCGACACCCTCCGGGGACAAAAGGAGGCCTGGGATCGGGGTGCGTTGTGGTGAGAACTACCCGGGGGCAGAACTGAGGGGCACTTCTGTGGCAGGTCTTGGGCTCTGTAATGGATTGAATATGTCCCTCAAAGAGATGTCAGCCCGGCAGGCATGGCTCAGTGGTTGAGCATCGACCTATGAACCAGGAGGTCATGGTTCAATTCCCGGTCAGGGCACATGCTTGGTTGCAGCAGCTCGGTCCCCAGTAGGGGGTGTGCAGGAGGCAGCCCATCAATGATTCTCTCTCTTCATTGATGTTTTTATCTTTCTCCCTCTCCCTCTCTGATATCAATAAAAATATATTAAAAAAAAAAAGAAAAAGATGCCAAAGCCCTGGCCAGTGTGGCTCAGTTGGTTGGGCATCATCCCACATACTGAAACGAGGCTGGTTCAATTCCCAGTCAGGGCACATACCCAGGTTGCGGACTCGACGCATGCAGGTGGCGGGGAGGGGGGGGGGGGGGGGGCCGCAGATCAATGTTGTGCTTTCACATCAATGTTTCCCTCTCCCTCTCCCTTCTGTCTCTCTAAAAATCTATTTTAAAAAATTTTTAAAAAGCGGGGGGGGGAAAAGACGTCAAAGTCCTAGCCCCCAGGACCTCAGAATGTGACCTTATTTGGAGCTCGGGTGGCTGCCGATGTAGTAAGTGAAGATGAGGTCATGCTGCAGTAGGGTGGGCCCCTCAGCCAGCATGACTTGTCCTTATAAAAGGAGGACGCTTGGACACAGCCACACTCAGGGAGCCGCCTGGAGCATGAAGGCGGAGATTGGGGCGAGACGTCTGCCTACAAGCCAAGGGAAGCCAGAGATGGCCCGCAAACCAGCCGGAGCCGGGGTGGGGCCGGGAGCAGGCCCTCCTCTCAGCCCCCAGAAGGCCCAGCCCTGCTGACACCTCGGTTCTGAACTTCTGGCTCCTGAGCTCTGGGAGAGTCATCTCTGTTGTGCGAGCTCCCAGCTTGTGGGGCTGTGTTGCAGCGGCCCCAGGTCCCTCATTCAGGGGCTGGCGGACCGGAATCCGCTTGGCGGCCTTCTCTCTGGGGGAGACCTGGGCAGCTTACTTTCCTTCTTTGAGCCTCAGGCCCGGAACCAGAACTCGGAGGCCTGGCTGGACAAAGACTGACCGGATCAATCAGGCCCCTTACCTGGATATGCGGAGTGGGGAAACTGGGCGACGGTGGCCACTTAGCCTGGGGACTGGGCCGAGGAGTCCACTGTGGGCCCAGCACCAGGCCCACAAGCAGACTCCCAGGGAGGCCAGGAGACATGGCGGAGGGGCGAGAGGAGGCCTGGCGCAGACCTGCTGTGATCCCAGCTCCTCCTAGGCCGGCTGGCGAGCCGTGTCTGGGTTCTCACGTGTATGTTGTTTCCTTGGCCCCCCTCCGTTGTGTTCTCACAGGGACCAGATTTTAACAAAGCGAGGAACACATTTTCTCAGCAACACCAAACCTTATTGAGTGCCTGCTGTGTACAGGTGCAGGGTAAGAGGCAAAGAGGTTCCAAGTCTGCCCCAGGGGGTCCCAGGCCCAGGGAGGGTCACGGGGGACTAGCTCGCTACCACGCCTGCTCCCCGAACTCCAGTTCAGAATGAAACAGTGAGGTCAGCCAGCAGAGTTCCAGCGCTTCCCACTGTGAGCTGTTAAACGCTGTTGTAAAATGTCAGCTATTGCATTCTTCCCCTTCCTCATCTTTTTTTTTTCCATTTTGAGAGACATGGGCTAACAGGAAATACAAAATGCATGACGGGGCCCTGGCCAGTGTGGCTCAGTGGTTGGGCGTTGTCCGGTGCCCTGAAAGGTTGCTGGTTTCCTTCCTGGTCAGGGCACGTGCCTGGTTGCGGGCTCAATCCCCGGCAGGGCATGTGCAAGAGGCAGATGTTTCTCTCTCACATCGATGTTTCTCTCTCTTTCCCTCTCTATTCTTCTCTCTCTAAAAATCAATTTAAAATATTTTTTTTAAAATGCGTGATCGGGGCTAAAATAAGGCAACACAGACTGGCGGCTAAGAGAGCAGGCCAGGTGCCAGACTGGCTGAGTTCAAGTGGGATCCTCGGCAAATTGTGTAACCTCTCTACACCCCAGTTTTCTCATCTGTACAACGGACAGAATAAAGTCATAGCGATTTTGTGAGGATTAATTTAAAGGCGTTAACATATGCAAAGTGTTCACACAGTAACTGGCACACAGGAAGCCCTTTGTGGACATTGGCTCTTCTTATTAATAAAGAAATGCACAAGGTTGGGGAACACAAGGAAAGAAGTGGTTATTATTTGTAAGAAGACATTTCCTGGGAGGCCTGCCCCTCACAATGACCCCCCTGCACTGTCCTTATCACCTCTAGGGAATGGTTGCCATATTTGTATAACTTGGCTTGGAAAGTGGCTGGGTTGGGCATCTGCCCCAAGCTGAGCCAACCAAGTCCTTCCCTTGGAACTGGGCCAAATATAGCCTAGTTTGATCCCGGCTGGTCTCTCAAATGGCCACCTCTGTCGTGCTGAAGTGACATCACAGAGAAAGCCAGGGTGTGGGGAGGGATGATGCACAGAGAGGCAGAACACATGAAGCAGAGAGAAGGCCCCTGGGTCCCTAGTTTCTGGCCCTTTCTGACCCCTGGACGCCTCGATGCCCTTGGAACGCTGGCGAGGTAACCGTGCCCCCTTAGAACCCAGCCCCACTCTTTTTTGAAGCGACTCTCATTGGTTTCTGTTGCAACCAAGGTGTCTTGGCCAACACCTGGACGCTGGGGCCTGCCTTCTCATTTCTCTGCATCTGTGAGACATTTTCCTGGAGTTACAGGGTAATGTCCACTCCTGTCCCGTCAGCTCAGGCAGGCAGCAATTGGTTTGTTTTGTGCTGTGATTGAAGAAAGAAGAGACCAGGAATTGAGAAACCATTTTTTCCTACCACTCACTTCTTCCTAGACCAGTGATGGCGAACTTATGACACGCGTGTCAGAGGTGACACGCGAACTCATTTTTTGGTTGACCTTTCTTTGTTAAATGGCATTTAAATATATAAAATAAATATCAAAAATATAAGTCTTTGTTTTACTGTGGTTGCAAATATCAAAAAATGTCTATGTGTGACACGGCACCAGAGTTAAGTTGGGTTTTTCAAAATGCTGCCACACCGAGCTCAAAAGGTTTGCCATCACTGTCCTAGGCCTTGTTCTGAGCACTCTCCATGCATTATCTCATTAGTGCCACCGGGAATATCATGATTGGATCTCTGCTTCTCCGATGAAGAGGCTGCGGTTCAGAGAGGTTAAGTGATTTAGGGAACGTGACCCAGCTAAGGAAAGTGGACAACTGGGATCTAAATCTGAAGTTTGTGCCTTCAAGCCCTGGGGCTGCTGGGTAGCATCTTCCCACTCTCCTGTTATGAGATCTTAGATAAACTCTTGACTTTGCTGCCGGACATATTAAGAACAGTATGCCATATATGCCAGGTCCCTTGAAACAGCAAGCATGGACCGGCTCCCGGCACTTTGCCTCAGTTTCCTAATCTGTGAAATGGGGTGAGGCCATTCATCACCTTGCCCATCCGAAGGTTGTCTGAAGTGGCCAATGCAAAGGGAGGTGAGGGTAAGTTTCGGGAGAGCTTCACGTTCCCCACACAGGTAACACATCCCCCAACCCCGCACACACTTCCTTTCACTGCTTCTTAGCAACTGACTCAGAGTGGACGGAGGAGAAGAAAGGAGGTCACACTTAAATTGGTCAATTTGAGCAGCTCACTGCAAAGGCTGGTGTGGGAGAGAGAGATGCAATTAATCTGAAAAACACAGTGGTTTTTATTTTTTTAATGTGATCCATGGCCTTCAGTCCTCCGTGTGGCTGTGCCAGGCATCACTCCCATGAGTCGGCAGCAGCTTGGCATTTGGGCTCTTCATTAAGTCCCTGTGAATTTTTGAACAATGAATGGCATTGATCTTTTTTAAAAAAATTAAAACAAATCAATACATGCTCATTGTAGAAACTTTGGGGGTGGCATAAAAAAGAACACCAAATGTACCCAAACAGGGTTACACCCAAGTTGGATGTATTAGTCAGCACCCACATGGATACATCTCGAAAACTGTTATGTGCAGTCAAAGAACTCAGATTCCCAAAAGTACACTTTTTTTTTTAATCCTTACCCGAGGATATGTTTACTGATTTTAGAGAGAGGAAGGGGGTGGGGGAAGATAGAAGGGGGGGGAATGGGGGGGGGGGCGCGGGCAAGAAAAACATTGACTAGTTGCCTCCCAGATGGAACCTGCAACCTAGGTATAGGCCCTGACGGGGAATTGAACCTGCAACCTTTTTGGTGTATGGGATGTTACTCCAACTAACTGAGCCATTGGGCCAGGCCAAAAGTACCCAACATTTGATTCTATTTGTATGAAGTTCAAGGAGGAGTAAGAACCATCTATAGTGACAGCAGCAGATCAGGGGGTGCTGGGTCCGGAAGAAACTACTGGGCTTGGGAATGTTCTATACCAATATCTTGATTACACTGGCAGTTACATGGGGCTATACGTTCATCAACACTTGTCAGCCTGTTCTTTGAAAATGGGCACACTTGACTTCATGTAAATTATACTTCAATAACATTGGCTTAAAAGTGGGGGGTGGGTGGGGGGAATGACCTGTAATTCCACTCTTCTGCTGTGGGATCTTAGACAAACCCTCGATCTTGCCTTGGTTACCTTGACCTTGGTTACCCAGATCTAACCGCTATTCAGGTTTTGGTGCATGTATGTAACTTAATCAACTGTGTGTAAGAAATATTAGTTCCAGATAAACTACCAATCCTTTGTAATAAAGGGTGTCCCAAAATTCACCCTAGGAAATGAGCCTAGGAAATGCGCTGACTTCACCTCAGCTCAGAAGAGGAAGATGTTCATCAACTTTAGGGTAAAAACACAACTCCTCTCCTTATATCGGAAGAGTAGCACATTTTATGAGGTGATCAGCACATTAGATGCCATCAGTACAGCGTGTGTGTGCCATTATGGTGGTGTCTCATGTCTGGTGAACATGAGGTTCGGGAGTGATCTCCTAGCTGATGTAATTTCCAGACAACGAGTTTTCAGACGGAGCTTCCAGAGTTCCCCAAACGCAACAGCCCCACGTGTAGCTATGAAAAGGGACCACTTGAGAACAAACAATGTTGTTGCCTGCTTTTGGTGCTTGGCATTTTATAACAAGTGTGGCCTTGTGTTGTTAAATAGGCTCCAAAAACAGGACTTAAAAGAGGCCGCACCTTATTCCATCCTGTGCTCGTGGACAGTCTGATAAAGCCGGCGTTGGTGTGCCGCACCCCCAGAAGTGGTGCCTGAGGAGGAATGTGCTGTTGCACGAGTGTGAGCAATATAATCTCCCCAGACTGCAGCCCACGGGGTGGCTGGGGAGCTGCCTGTACCCACGGAGGGTGGGGGAAACATCCTCCTTCAAATCCCGGTTTCTAACCAGCAGCGGCTTGGGCTCCCAGGTGACTCGTGGCCAAGTCTGGGACCGTTTGGTTGTCACAAATTGGGAATGACGCTCGTATCTGTGGGCAGAGGCCGGGCTGCTGCTGAATGGCTCCAATGCTCAGGGCCGCCGCCTGCCACCAAGAACGATCTGGCCCAATGTCCGCAGCGTGAAGGCTGGAAGCCCTGCTGAGATGTTGATCGGGAGAGTCTGCACTCCAGCTGTTGGGCAAACGGGAAAGGCCAGAGACGTGGACTGGCTGGAGGGTCCATATCCGAGGCCGCAGAAACATGGGTTCTAAAATGACGGAGGTGAAGTGAAACAGCCGAAGCTTATTCCAAGGGCTCACTCTGGGCCAGGCTGTGGGCTTGGCATCGCTTACCTCACTTCACTTCTTCAACTCTGGAAAAAGGTGCTGCTAGGACCCCACTTTGTAGGAAACCAACCGAAGGCATACACAGTTGGAAAAGGGAAGAGGTTGTGTTCTTCTTGGCATACTTTTTTTGGGGGGGCGGGGAGGGTGGTGATTTTTGCGGGGGGTGGGTATCTGGTTGCCCGTACTCAACTCTGAGCTCCAAGAGGAGATGTTGTGTCAACTGGATCTGTAGCACTCAACAAAGTCCCTGGCACTCAGCAGGTGCTAAGAGGTGTTTGAGGGAACGGAATGAAAAACTGAAGGGTCAGGGCAATGTTGCCTAGTGCTTAGACCCTTGGCAGTGCAGTTAGATTTCCAACCATTCAGCAGATAGCCACTGTGCACCGGCTCGGGGCCCGGCGCAGGGGAACAGGTAGTGGCATGCTGGAGCTAACTAATCTCTACTGGCTCATGAGAGCGACTGTTCCTTCTTCAGGAAGCCTGCAAGCTGGTTGTCAAAGAGCCATTAAACAAGAATAAATTACAGTTACCACGAAATAAATTATATATTTTAAAAGGTAATAAAACGCATCACTTCCTAATTATTCTTCTATGTTTTACTAGTATCTCTGTTCTGGAGGTTATTTATGTCTGTTGCAGGGGTCGCCAAGCTTTTTCTGTACAAGGGCCAGAGAGTAAGTGTTTCAGGCTCCGCGGGCCAGGAGCTGAATCTGGCCCTCCCGCCTCTGTTCGCTGTCCCCCGGTCTGCCGTCTGTAGGGCGGAATTACTCTCTCATGGGGCCCATCTCTTTCCAACTCCACGTCCAGCCGTGAATGTTGGCAGCTTGAAATCGGCCACGGTAGGAATATTTACACCCTGGAAATTGTCAAATGTTGTGAATCAGGGCTTTCCTTTTCCTCAACATGCTGATTGTTAAACATTTACCAGCGCACCACTGGACACAATGATGGGCCCAACTGGAATGAACCCTGCCCTTTTGAGGTTACAGTTGGGTTCCTGCACAATTTCGTGGTGGGCAGGGCAAGGAGGGAGCAGAGAAAGGCTGGTGAGGGTCTCACTAGAGACCACTCCGATGAGGACACCCATGTGTGGTGTGTCTGCCGAAAGGACAGGGCTGCTAGAAGAGGGTGCTCAGGTGGCCCTCTCCGTGGGCTGGCCATTCACAATGCTCCCCTCCCCCACTTCCTCAGATGCCGCCGTGGGCAGCGAGGCAGCAGGGCTGTCTTTCTCCTCTGAGTTAGCTCAGGGGGAGACTTCAGGGGTGTGGGAATGGAGATGTGAGCTCATGAGGGCAGTTTACTACCCGGTCACTACAACCCCAGCTCCCAGCACGGCACTTGCCACAGTGTAGGTTCTCCGCCAATGTGGCCCAGGGGTGAACCCCTCGTGGTTGCTGAACTCGAGTGATGCAGTGAGCTCAGATAAGGAGGGACCTGCCTCAAACAGGGAGGGACCGCCAGCAAAGAATGCAGAAAAGGACAGGTTTGTCTGGTGACCTTGTTGAATGAGCTGGCCTATGGGAGCTCAAGGAGAGTGAAGGGTTTGTGAACTTCAGTGTCTTCTCTGCTGCTCCGTGAAGTTCTCAAGTTCAATGCCAGGAAGGTGAGCTCTAAGGGGCTGGGACCACTTTTTTTTTTGAGAGTCTGGATTCCCATGGCATTGAAGATGACTTGGGTACATATCCATCCATGGAAACTTGATGGGCTTGTGTTTCCTACAGAGGTTGGGGTCCCGTGGGGCGGGGACTTTTGATGGAATCTGACAGCTGGACTCAGATTTATTTCTAGGTCAGGAACCTGGAATAGTGGGAGCAAGGGGGCTCTGCAATGAGTTACATGAGTCCCAGTCTAGGAGGCTGGGGACTCAGCTATCGCCAACTGAACACTAATAACATTCCATCTCACCGTGTCTCAACTTACTGACGTGGTCCTACGGTCGGCACGTTTTGAAGCACCAGGGAATAGGTGAGTGTGACCATCAGTGTGACCATCAGTCATTGTTGAGCCCTGACCCCGTGCTGGCCCTGAGCCAGCTCTGCTGTCAACCAGGAACTCCTGATTTCTGCCCCAAGGAGCTTTTCTTCTTACAGTGTCTTGGGGGCTCCATGTCACTGCTTTCAAACTAAAATTTAAAAATGATTTAGACCGGCCAGTGTGGCTCAGTGGTTGAGCACCAACCCATGAACCAGGAAGTCACAGTTCGATTCCCAGTCAGGGCATATGTCCAGGGTTGAGGTCTCGATCCCCAGTAGGGGGTGTGCAGGAGGCAGCCGATTGATAATTCTCTCTCATCACTGATGTTTCTATCTCTCCTCTCTCTGCAATCAATAAAAACATATTTTAAAACAATTATTTAAAGATGACCGATTGAATTCAATACTTTGAAATCTCTGAGGCCTCTGCCCTGCATTCCCCGGGTACCTTGTGTGCCTTGGCAAACGAGCTAGTTTCCTGCACAGGCCAAGCGTCCTCCCACCTCTTTGTATGTGCCATTCCACCTTTGTATGTGACCAAGGCCCCCCCAACGCCCCCACGCCCGAGCACCTTTCCCCTCTTTACCTGATTCCTAAAGACCTCCTGAAGCCAGGACATGTACCCCAGCACCTGCTGGGTTAGGTGTTCCCTCTCTGTTCCTGGAGCTCAAGCACAGGGTGGTTGGTCACTGTCTTTATCATCCTTTATCTGATCTCCATACCTGGGTCAATCCTGACTAGCTACGTGAGCCTGGGCAAGTAGCTCAGCCTCTCTGTGCCCTCATCTGCAGGTGAGGATGGTGATGGCAGCTATGTCCTAAGGTTGCTGTGACAAAGGAAAGGTGCATGCACGTACAACTCGTAGCACATTGGAAGTGGCTATTACAGGAATTACTCCTACGACAACACAGAGCAGGAGCTCAATAAACCCATCCCTTAACGACTTAGGGGTGGGGGTGGAGGGCTTGATCACAGCCATCCCTTGCACCCACACCTACAGCATGAGGTGGGGGCTCGGGTTTGCCCCTTTTCTTGTTTGGTTTTCTCAAGGCGGTTGAAGCTTAGAAGTTGAATGAAATGCCAGCAAATTGTGGGGAGATGCTGAATACCTCACTTTCTCACTAAACCGTGCCTCCCTCAGGGTGCACCAGGAAGAACAGCTCTGCCCATCTCCTGGGCAGCCTGGACATTTGAGTCATTTCTGTGAGGGACTGGGCCCTGCCTTCCACCCCCTTCCCCAACCCAGGCTCCGGGGGAGCCCCTCCATCTTGTCTGTTCTGGGAGAGAATGGGGAGGAGATACTCCCACCACAGGGGCTCTGTGGATAAACTGCGGCATTCGTGATAGGATTCAACACACGCGCGCACACCCATGTGTTCCCCGCAGGGCACCTTCACTTAACGAGAAGGCAAACATCTGGGGGTTTGGAAGGTATTAACTGCAGAAGCGTGTGGACCTGAGAAAGCCTGAGGGAGCAGAGCATTTGCTGGGCGGCCTTAGGTGTCTCCTGATGCCAGGAAGGGAACGTTTTCCTTTCAGCTCTAGTCCTGAGTGACACTGCGGTTCATTCCACAAAGCGCTTGCAGGAGGAGCTGCTCCCCAGCGGGTGAAGCAGAGATGAAGGGCCAGGTCCCGCTCTGAGGGGAGAGGTAAAGAAGCGGGAGTTACTGGGGTGCAGGAAGAGGAGCGGGCAGTCCAGGACCTTGGGGGGGGCCTTGGTTGTATACGTTCTTAGAAGGGGTCAGGCTCCACGGGCAGGAAAAAGGAGGGGGTTGGCGAGCCTGTCCCCTCCCCGAAGGCAGCTCTGGACCCAAAAGGCCAAGGCTGGTAGGCATCTGGGAAAGGCCCAGTGTCTGCTGGGCTGACACGGGCAGAGTGGGCTCATTACCCAGACAATTGGGGGAGCATTTTCAAGGCGAGGAGACACCCCTGTCCTTATGGCCACATCTGGCCAGCCAGATGTGCAGCCTGAGCTGTGGAGGGGGTGTCAGAGGTCAGGCGGTCCCGCCCCCACCCCTCCGGCCCGGCCTAGTCCAGCCCGGTCCAGCCCGGCCCCGCCCCGCCCGGTCCCTCGGGGTTGCACCTGGCCGCACCTTGGCCGTCCGCGGTGACATGTTTCGGGGCGTTGACATGTTTCCGGGCGTGGACGTTTCCGACCGGGGCCGCCGGCATGGGGAGCGTGGGGTGCGGGGACCACGGCTGGTCCCGGATCCGGTCCCGCCCGTGGGCCTCGCGGCTCCGCACCAGCCTGGGCACCGGCGGGGGCGCGGCTGGGCGTGACGTCACGCGCCCCGCCCCCGCGGCCCCAGCCCCCTCCCGTTCCGGGCGGGGCGGGCGGGACCGGCCGGGGCTCGCGCGCCTCGGCCCCCTCCCCAGGGGCCGCCCCTCCCGTCGGGCCGCGCCTCGGCCCCTCGCGTCCCCGCCCGGCCCGGCTCCGCCTGCGAGAGGCCGCCGCCGCGGCCGCCGCCGTTGCCGCCATTGACGTCAGAGGGGCGGGCACATGACCCCGCGGGGACCAATCGCGCGGGCGCCGAGCGGCTTCTGCAATCTCTCAACAGAGCCGGCCCCCGCGGCCCCCGCCGCACACTCGCCCGCGGACGGCCGCCCAGACACACGTACTGTACACACGAGCGGGCGGCGGGGCCGAGACACGCCCGCTGCCGGCCCCCGGCGCTGCCGCTCCCCGCCCGCCCGCCGCCCCGCCGGTCCGGCCGCGCGAGCATGCACCCGACGAGCTAGGAGGAAGCCGAGCCCCGCAGGAAGGACCGCGCCGCCGCCCGCCGCCGCCCGCCGGCCCCTCCCCTGCGGGCGCCCCCTGCCCCCCACCCCCCCACCTTCCTGAGCGGTGGGGGGGTGCGGGCCGCCGACCGGGGGCCCCGCCGCCCCGCAGCCGGGACAGCCCCTTTCCCCGCCCCCGGCCCCCTCCCCGGCCCGGCCGGCCATGGATCTGACCAGCAGCTCGGGCGGCGGCGGCGACCCCCGGCAGATCGAGGAGACCAAGCCGCTGCTGGGGGGCGACGTGCCGGCCCCCGAGGGCACGAAGATGGGCGCCGTGCCCTGTCGCCGGGCCCTCCTCCTGTGCAACGGCATGAGGTACAAACTGCTGCAGGAGGGCGACATCCAGGTCTGTGTCATCCGGCACCCGCGGACCTTTCTCAGCAAGATCCTCACCTCGAAATTCCTGAGGCGCTGGGAGCCGCACCACCTAACGCTGGCCGACAACAGCCTGGCGTCCGCCACGGTGAGTCGCTCCGCTCCGCGTGGCCGCGCGCCGGCTCCCCCGCGCCTCCCCTGGGACCGCAGGGCGCCCCCTCCCACGGCTGCACCTGGAGCCCGGGGCCCGCCGCGCACCGGGGGGCGCCAGGGGCGGGGAGCGCCCGGCGCCCTCTCCCGGCCTGGGCTCGGCGCCGGGTGGTGGACCCCGAGGAGCTCTGCCCGGCCGGCGGTTCGGGGGACCCTGAGGATCCTGGAGAGGATCTGGCCCAGCCCCGGCTGAGCCTTGGGGGACCTCGGGCCCAGCGCTCGGGTTTCTTGCGGGTGGGACCGTGGGCTGGACCGGCTGGGCCCCGGTGGTGGTGAGGGTTCCCTTTCTGAAAGCCTGCGGGGGACGGGGAAACAAAACAACCAAAAAAATAAAACACCTCCCCACCACCCCCCAAGCCCCAAACCCCCAACAACCTCAAAACCCCCAAACCCAAAGAATTTCCAGAAACCAGTTCCTTTCTTTGAACTGTACCCATCTTTTATTCTCTTTCCTGCCCGGGCTGGCAGGCAAAACTGGGTGCTTCCCTTTCTGAAAAAAAATCTCTTTGGCACATTGGGGGGCTGGAGGGGGAGGGGCAGGGGCAGGGGCGGGGGTCCGGGACCGTCTCCTCCCCACCCAGGGCTGAGGGTCAGGCTCTAGTGTGGAAGCTGGCTCGTGGGGTCTGGCATTGTCTGTGAAGTGTGTGTGTGTAGACGTGTGTTTCCATGCTGGGGTTTTATTTTGTTACTGTTATTGTTTTTAAATGTGTGGTTGGGACTGGGTCAGCTGGGTGAGAGGGAGAAGAGCAGTCATTGATCTGCTTCTGAAATCAAACCTGCAAGGTGGAGAAAGAGCTGTGGTGGGGTCGCAGGGCGGGGGTGGCGGGCAGGAGCCTGAACAGGATGCTTTGTGTTTTGAAACAAGGACAGTTTAAAGCACCAGATCTGCTTGGGCCTGAGCCTTGCTGAGAGGGCTCCTTCCTCTACCGAGAGGTGACAGGTCTTCCCCAGAATGCACACTCCCCCCCTGGGGCCACTGTGAGCCTGTTTACTAAGCACAGTGGGGGGTGGGGTGGGGTGGGGGGACCAGAATCCACCGCCTGCCCACACCTGTGCCAAGAAAACCCAGCCAGGAAATAGGGTGTCGCTTACATAGCATGTCACAAACGTGTAGCGTGTGTAGACATTTCCCCGGCATCCATGTTCCCTTGGCAGTGTGTCACAGGCCGTGACACATGCTCCAAGGAATGGGGAGGGGGAAAAAGTTAGCAGGAGAAACCTTACTCCTCGAAACAACTTCCCCCCCTCCTGAGAGCGTTGAAGCACACGAGGACTTTTATTCTGAATTTTGGGTCCGACGTGCTGAGAACACCTATTTTTTCTTTCCTGTGGGCACGTTGGTGCAATGTCTGCAAAGGCTGCTTCCTCAGGGTGGATCACTGGCTGTCGAGAAGCGGCCCAGGCCCAATTTCAGGCTCATGCATGTTTAGGAACCACAGGGCTTAGGGTTTGGCTTTTCCTTTGATGGAGGGAGAGCCTCGGAAAATGTGCCCTCACACACCATTTCAGATTGGGGAGGAACTAGTGTCCTCAGTAGTTCCTTGCCTGGGACCTACCTGGAGCGCCCAAATCTGGCTTCCGAATTGTCCCCTGGCTCATGGGGGGCTTTATTTTTTTCTGCCACCCCTCAAAGTGAAGGGGAGTGTGTGTGTGTGTGTGTGTGTGTGTATGTGTGTGTGTGTGTATGTGTGTGTATAGAAATGGTTGAGAGGCACAGTGACCCTCTGTGGGAAGGACAGGCTGAGCCAGGAGTGTGTCCTCTGCTGCTACTGGCCATAGTCTGGGGGAAGCCAGCTTTGGAGGCTCAAGGCCCCAGACTTACCTCTGATTGCTCAAGATGTATATGTGAGCGAGAGGGGGAAGGAGGAAAGGCTGAAGCGAGGCGCTGGTTTCTTAAGCAGCCAGAGAGAGGCCCTGGCCCCACCTTCACCCGCAAGGTGGGTGGCACTTTTGTAGCTTGGACCTTTCTGGAGAGGAGCTCTGGTTTTCAGGACGGGACTGAGCACTCTCCATGGAACGAGATTTATCTCAGCAGAGCCTTGCTCTGGTGTTGGGAAATGTGGAAGGAGGAACTCTGAGCAAGTGTCCAATGAGCTGGCATAATTCCCCTTCCTCTGCCTGTCATCACCAAGCCCCTCGGGTAGGGCAGGGGTGTACTTAAATCTCCCCATGGGGGGCTCCAGGGGAGTACATGGCTCTCTGTGCCAGGGCCTGTGAGCATGGCGGGGGGCTGCTGAGGCAGGCCTGGTCCAGCGGCTGCCTCCAGGGCAGAGGTGGGGTTGGCACTGCTACTGGGGACCTTGCCTTATCCCGAGACACCTGGTTGGTGTCCAGGTCCTAGGAAACAAAGCAGCCCCAGGGGTTTTTCTGAGGCCTGGGCGTTATGTAATCTGTCTGCATTTTATAGTGCGGCCCAAGCACTCTATTGAGAAATATTAGCCCAAATGAAACAAAGGTGAATTTGAGTGCAGTTCACTACAACAAGCCCTGTGTAGCCCTGTGGCTTTGTGTAGAGTCCCTAGCCCAGTCTCACGCTGCCGATATATCAAGTGTGTTTCCTATCCTTTCTTGAAACGTATATCATCTGTCTATACAGCTCAACTCAGAACCGTTTGGTAATTATATGGTTAATTGTGTGGGCTTCAGGAACAAGAGTCAGAGTGATTGATCTGGATCCGAATGAATAAACAAACTAAATACACTCTTTTGCCCAAATTGTCTTTGGAGTCTGTCTACACTGATCCAATAAATTGGATTGTTGTCAGAGATAAAGACCAGGGCCACAGCTGTCTCGAGGAGGGTGGAAGCATATGGGGCGCCCAGGCCCACCCGGGCGGCAGTTCCTGCTGGCTTCGCCCCTCAGGTGGACCTCTCTTGAGTCCCTGCTGGGGAGATGGGCTCAGACTGGGGCCCCAGGGACTGGCAGCCTCACTCCCTGGCTTGGCTATAAACTTTACCTTGTGTGGGGTCAGGTTGGAGCTTGCCCTGTGCCTGTCTCCTGGGCCAGTTACTGATTAAATCCTTGCAGAGCCAACAGTGTGCCTGACGTGGCCTGTGACAGTGCCGGGTCTGATGCACTTTGTGCTTGAGACTTTGGATCCAGAAAGCTCATAAACAAAGAAGGAAACACAAAGGCGACAGTGACTTGGCTGACGTGTGAGGGGTGATTGGGAGGCATCCACCCCTTCCCGGGGGTACACATGACCACACCTTGTGGGGGAAGGGCCCGCTTGCCCAGCCTGTGGCCCAGCCCTGGCGCCTCCTTCCTCTTTTGCATCCAGACTTCCCAGTCCCTGGGCTTCCCTGGGGCTTCGTGGTGGCGGTCAGTCGTAGCCGACGGCCAGGCATTCTGCATAAGCAGCCTGGTCCTGTGAGACCAGAATCCATTTTGCTATTCTGTGTCTAGGTTGAATTTGATCACCTGCTAGACATGTTTGTCCACTGGAAGAGGGCTTTGTCTGTGTGCTTTGTTTCCTCTGCACCGAAGAAGTAGACACGCTGCTGACATTCTATTTCACCTAATTTTGTGCACGCATCACATGGCATCTCGTGGTGGATCCTGTCCGGAAAGTCTTTTATTCATTGACCCAACAGGGATGGGGCACAGGTGACAGCAGTGTTCTTTATTCTCAGGCCTTAATTCATCAGCGACTTGTTTTTAAATCCTCACCACTCTGCTGCTCTGATTGAAATGTTTCTGGCCTTCTAGTCACGAGAGGAACAGAGAAGCCACCTTAATTCTCATTAGGTCCCTTTAGTCCGGTGTTTCCGTGGGGAGAGCCTTCTTCTGAACTTGCAGTTCCTAAGCATCTAGGTGTCAACTGTGGAGCAGAGAGTTCATCCCAACGGTGTGATTTCCACTGGAGAATTAAAGTTTGTGTCTCACAGGAATGCATCTGCGTGTGTGTGTGTGTGTGTACGTGTGTGTGTGTGTGTACGTGTGTTGACTTTTTTCACTTTGTATCATGCACCGCTTCCCGCCTTTGATTTATGTGATGTTTATTGTGGCAGTTAGTAAACACGAGGAATTTTTATTTTCAATGCCATTTGTCACAAGATTTTTG